CCATCTACTTTCAAAATTTTCATATGTTTATAATCTGCTTGATTTTAATCCTTTTTGAAATTTAAAATTTGATAGTTGATATAAAAATAGATTTTTGCCGACGAACATTTTACATCAAAATTATATAGCATGTTAAAATTTGAAGGTGCACCTTACCTGCGTCCCCCGCTAAGTCTCGCTCCTTCGATAACTTTGTTGGTGACTCTTTCTCTTGTTGTACCTTTTATGTGTGACCCTCTCCATGGAAAAGTCATTTGCTCTCTCTCATCTGTGCCCCAAAAACCAGTCCCCAAACGAAATAACCGCAAACCCTAGTTTCCATAGAATCGAAAGCTCCGAAATGCCCTAACCTGGCACGAATGGTCTCTGCAGCTCCATGACTTTGAAGAAACCCTAAACCCAAAATCTCCATTCTTGAAGGGAAAGAGGCATGAAGTAGAAAGAGAAAGAGAAGGTACTTTTTTCCCTCTCTATTTCCAATTATTCGAGCTCTGTTTTTCTGTTTGTCTATCTCAATGAGAAGGAGAGGCGTGCATTGTGTCTTTTTAATCATCGCTTGTGAGGTTCCTTCCTTTGTGAATTTATAATCTATATGTTGGATTTATTTGGCTTTGGATCTCTCTCATGGTTAGTGGTTTCATCTTCCATTGCAAGGTTATTGAAATATTTAATCTAACGTAGCTTATTCCTTTTTCTGTTTTTACCTTTCATTTAATTTATCCATACGAATTTATCTTCTTCTTCTTCTTGTTTTTTTTTTTTTTTCTGTTTTGCTATTTATTGGCTTTTTAATTGAATTGGATTATTGATATTGCAAATTCACATCAGGGGCAGGTGATTTTCTATTTTCATTAGTTGTTTCGGGTGTTTACTTCAATTTCCATGTGAAAAGTGAGATTTTTTTTGGGATTCTCTGCATGCTATTAGTTTCCCATCCTTTTTCTGATTTCTTAGAAGTTTTCTCTATATTCCAGGCTCTATGTTTTCTTTAATTGGTTTTATATGAAGGAGATAGTGTGTTCATCTGGTACATTTATCTGTTTGGTTGGGGTATTAGGAGAGTTATATGAGTCTAGGATCCTGTACCCAGTTGTTAAGTGTATAAAGAAAACTATGCTTTGGAACCAGTGGTTTAAAAAATGGATCGGTGCCTAGGATCGGGCACTCCAAAAACCCATCCGGATCGGTGAATAGGCGGTTCGCATTGGAAATCCGCCGAATCGGTCAGATTCGGCAATAAAAAAAAAAAAACAATTATTAAAAATCATTATAAATATTGTTTTTTATGAATCCAATAAAAAATGGGGGTACTACATTATTAACTTTCATCTTTTTTCATCAATATGCCAATATTGAGATGTTTTTTCCCTGTATAAACTTAGGTTAACCATTAAATTTACATCACACAATCATAGAATTATCATGGATTAAGTATCTTATAATATCATCTAATTTAAAATATATTACTGACAACTTTAAGAAAAAATAGTACATTGCATCAAGGTTTAAAAAAACGGATCGGTGATTTTTTAAACACTGACCGAATTCAAAAAATAAGTACAAATCTACAATGTCTTATAATATCATCGAATTCAAAAAATCTTATTTACAACAATAAGAAAAACTATACATTACAAAATTTATAGTACAAATAAATTAATAAATAAAATACAAATATTTGATTACCAATATATAATTATTAATTATAACATTACAATAAAAATAAAAATAAAACCCCCTATAAATTTTAATATTATGAAATTAAAATATTTCAAAAAAAAATTATCCTAAAAATTGAAAAATAAAGATACCAAAATTCAACGAAAAAAAAAAAAAGCCTCTTGGCAATACGCACAACAGCTATAAAAAAAAAAAAATTGGTAACAAAACTTTGAGTAAGCTTTAAACCTCTTTCAAACATTCAATATAATTATAAATTATATATTTACAAGTTTATTTTTTTAGGCAATGATGATTAAGTTTCAAAGTTTTAAATTCTACCTTGTATATATGGTTTTTCCAAATTTAGCTTTAAAAATAAGTAAATGATAAAATGTTGTCACATTCTATGTAACAATAATAATTTATTAAATAACATAGCAATTTAATATATTAAATTATGTGATATTTTAATATATTTATAACAATAAAAATTTCAATATAGCGATAACAATTTTAGCATAATTATAATAAATAATTATAGTTTGTTAAAATTTTTGACATAATTATATTCATTCAACATAATAATATTAATGTCATTTTAATATTCATATTCACTTAATTACAGTGACATAAGTTTAACATAATTATATTGAGTTATTAACATAAATAAAAAAAATTCATATAATTATATTAATTCTTGTAAATTTATTATGTGTAATTTGTTTTTTTGTATTTATGCGTAATTCAAACTTAGCTATATGTACTTTATTTTTGTAAATTATAAAAATAAAAATGGATATAATTAATTAAAAAAGGAAAATAATTTTTTTATTTTGTAGACTGTTTATTTTATAGATGATAGTTTCCTTATATAAGAGAGAGCTATTAATGAAAACGTCTCCTTTAATTGTAGACTCTATTGCCAAGGCAAAAAAATATCCCACATCGATAGATGGTGGGAAGAAATATGCTTATATAACTTAGAAATGTATAGCATTTGGTTGTCAATGTGACATGCGGGAGGTTGACCTTGCATGTGCATTGTACATGGTCATGTAGTTGGTCTTTTGTACCATCAGTTTTCAAAGTTGATGACGTCATCGCTCTGTTTTAAAAAAACTACGTGGGTTTCAAAAAAATTTGTTTGGCAGTTTTCAAAACCGATGATGTCATCAGGGCGAACCGGTGACGTGTCCGCTTTATTACGTCATCAGGGCGATATCTTGACAAAAACGGCCGGATCCCGTTTTATTAACAGATCCAAAACGGTGTCACCGATACCTGATCCGGATCGACGATTTTTTAAACACCGATTGGAATTATGGCTCGAAAGCAAAGAAGCAACAGCTAGCCTAGCGCAAAAGCCGTTGCACTAATGCGTATCCATTTTCTTGCAAGAAGCAACGGCTAGCCTAGCGAGAAAGCCGTTGCGTTTTTCTCTTAGGGAAAAATATTGTCATATTTTTGAAGAAAACTCATACACTGGGGCCAATGCAAGGGAAAACACATTCTGAAGAGGAGGGGGATGTGAAAGATATGTTGCTTACTTGACATTGATCTTGAATGGAGTATCAAATGTCTTCTTGTTTGTGAGATGCATTTGAGAGATCAGCCCTTACATATACCTTTTCGTGTGACGTGTTTGAATCTTTATCCTCAAGGCCCACGCACTGGCCATGATCTTGTTGAATCAAAACAGAGCTTATTTTACATTTTAGTATACTAACTAGTGGATAGTTGAAGGCATTAGAGGCTTGGCTGCATAGAAATACCATCTTTAATATCTCTGTTAAGAAGGCATTCTTAATTTCCATCTTGTTAAGGCTAGTGTCTTGCAACCAGTGTTTAAAAAATCGCCGATCCGATCCGGGATTGAGTGATTCGGATTGGGTATTGGTGACACCGTTTTGGATCCACTAATAAAATGGGTTCCGGCCGTTTTTGTCAAGAAATCGCCCTGATGATGTCATAAAGCAAACACGTCACCGCATAGGTTCGCTCTGATGATGTCATAAAGCGAACATGTCACCGGTTTGCCCTGATGATGTCATCGATTTTGAAAACTGCCAAACTATGTGGCCACGTACAATGCACAGGTAAGGTCAACCTCCCACGTGTCACATTGACAACCAAATGCTGTACATTTCTAAGTTATATAAGCATATTTCTTCCCACCATCTATCGATGTGGGATATTTCTTCTGCCTTGGCAATAGAGTCTACAATTAAAGGAGACGTTTTCATTAATAGCTCTCTCTTATATAAGGAAACTATCATCTATAAAATTAATGGTCTGCAAAATGAAAATTTTATTTTTCTTTTTTAATTAATTATATTCATTTTTAGTTTTATAATTTACAAAAATAAAGTACATATAACTAAGTTTGAATTACACATAAATACAAAAAACAAACCACACATAATAAATTTTCAAGAATTAATATAATTATACGATTTTTTTTATTTATGTTAATAACTCAATGTAATTATGTTAAACTTATGTCACTGTAATTAAGTGAATATGAATATTAAAATGACATTAATATTATTATGTTGAATGAATATAATAATGTCAAAATTTTTAAAAAACTATAATTATTTATTATAATTATGTTAAAATTGTTCTTGTTGTATTGAAATTTTTATTGTTTTGAATATCACGTAATATAATATATTAAATTGCTGTTTTATTTAATAAATTATTATTGTTACATAGAATGTGACAACATTCTATCATTTACTTATTTTTAATGGTAAATTTTGAAAAACCATATATACAAGGTAGAATTTAAAAATTTGAACCTTAATCATCATTGTCTAAAAAAATACACTTGTAAATATATCATTTATATTTGTATTGAATGTTTGAAAGATGTTTAAAGCTTACTCAAAGTTTTGTTATCATTTTTTTTTTTTGTTTTTTTTGTTTATAGCTGTTGTGCGTATTGCCAAGAGGCTTTTTTTTGCTTTGAAAATTGGTATCTTTATTTTCCAATTTTCAGGATAATTTTTTTTAAAAATATTTTAATTTCATAATATTAAAATTTATAGGGGGTTTTATTTTTATTCTTATTATAATGTTATAATTAATAATTATGTATTGATAATCAAATCTTGTATTTTATTTATTAATTTATTTGTATTATAAATTTTGCAATGTATTGTTTTTTCTTATTGTTGTAAATAAGATTTTTTGAATTTGATGATAGTATAAGACATTGTAGAATTGTTCTTATTTTTAAATAATGTCTTATTTTTTGAATTCGGTCAGTGTTTAAAAAATCACCGATCCGTTTTTTTAAACCATGATGTATTGTACTATTTTTTCTTACAGTTGTCAATAATATATTTTAAATTAGATGAAATTATAAGATACTTCATCCATGATAATTTTATGGTTGTGTGATGTTAATTTAATGGTTAACATAAGTTCATTGAGGGAAGGAACATTTCAATATTCGCATATTGATGAAAAAAATGAAAGTTAATAATGTAGTACCCCCATTTTTTATTGGATTCATAGAAAATAACATTTTTAATGTTTTTTAATAATTTTTTTTTTTATTGCCGAATTTGATCAATTTGGCAGATTCCTTATCCAAAACGCCAGTTCACTGATCCAGATGGGTTTTTGGGGTGCCCGATCCGGGGCATCAATCCGTTTTTTAAACCACTGCTTGCAACTAAACAAAGGAGAGAACTCATATAATACTTACTTTTGCACTAGGCATAAATGAGTCCTCTTAATCTGCGCATTACTCTTATTTGGAGTCCTCAATTATCAAGTAAGTATCATTCATAATTTCATAACCTTATAAATTCACATTCTCATTGTGTGTCTTAATGATTGTATGTGATATTGTATCCCATGTATTATTTTTACTCCTTTTTATCAGATATACCCTCTCTTTAGAGTTATCCAATTATAATTCTGTTCGCATATGTGGAGTTCTATCACTTGATGAGCATAAATACTAGTAGATCATACAAGTTCATTATATACAGTCACTGTTAAAGGAGAAAAAGAAATAAGCTTATTTTTTCATCCTCATGTTCCCAAATTGATGGCCTACAATTCATTCTTGAAGCTAACCCACTTCTTGAAAGTTGGCCGTATTGAATGGCTTCCTCCCTTGTTGGATAGTAATGATGAAATGAAAACTATATCTGGCTCTTACACCGATGTAAGATGGGTCCAAAGAGGACCTTGATAAATTTCATGTTTTGACTTAGAGATCTGAGAAATATGTCTTGTTTTCCTTTATTAATCAACTTCCAACCTCAGAACTCAGATGAGAAATATGACCAATATTTTTTACTTGGAATTTTCTAAGTGTGTACTCAAGGTTGGCATCAAGAAATCTTATTTTGCTTGTAGTTATTGTACTACTGAGCTTACTGCCATTATATACCATAGTTAGCAAGTCGGAGACTATCAATAAATCGGCTCACTAGAAAATCGGAAACAAATCGTTTTTATTTTAAAAAGTCGGATGAAAAAATCAGGTAAAAAATACAGATCGGCAAAAATAGTTCATATAAAAATATCGCTAATATATCGAATTAGGCCCAAAAAATCGGAGTAAAAAAATTGGATAAATTTATAATATTAGAAATTTTGAAATTCTAAAAAATAAAAATTATGTCAAAGCCATCAATAACTAATTCATAAATAAAAACTTTACTAGACTAATATAATTAAGTTAATTAATTTAGATGCCTCGTGACTCTCATCCAATTATCCAATATTAAATATATAATGAAGTAGTATATACCAAAAAAAATGTATCATATAAAATCTACTCATTAAATACTTTAAGAAACATCACACTTACTTATTACATACCAAAAACAAATATACTATATATGAATACTTTTAACTATGGTATGGTAACAAATATACTCTATAAATTTATTCATTAAATACTTAAAACATCACACCTACTTAGCAAGTACCAAAAAAATACACGATTTTTGTTTTCTCATTATAGGGATTTTACTATGGTATGGTGACCATGGTCACTCCATAACTAGGGTTAAAGTTTTATGAATTTCTTTAATTGAAAGGAGGCTCGTAGAAATTTGGGTTTCACATCTCAGTGTTTACGATTTAGAGAGAGAAGAAGGAAGAAGGAAGAGAAGAAAATAGGGCTGGGCTCATAGCGATTAGGGTTTATAGATAGAGAAGAAGGAAGAAGGAAGAGATCATCAGCTTCACAAACCCTAATGGAAGAGGCACTAAATGATTTTTGGAGAGAGAAAAGGAAGATAGGATGCTGATTTGGGATATAGTTTGAAGAGGGTTTTTCTCTTTCATTTGGGATGTTGTTCGAGAGAAAGACCTAACGATTTGTGAGGAGGCCCTAATTGATTTTTAGGGAGAGAAAAGGAAGAGGGTTTTTCATTTTCTTGGGGAAACAGCAAGCAGAGCTGAAGGATTAGGTTTGGGGAACTATTCCTATATGTAAAATTGCTTGCTCTTGTAAGTTTACAGTTTACACTATATTGTTTATCTTTGTTATCACATAATCAAAATAAAATATTGATTACTTGGTCTTGTAGTCACACTCTCTACTTCTCATTCATCAGTAAAAGACTATGTTTTGAGCTCTGATTTGTGCCATAAATAGTATTTTCATAAAAACAATTATCACAAATAATCACAGAAATCTGCATGTATATGATTTTCTTTCACAATGATTTACTGTACAAAATGATTTGCTAGAAACAATATTTCATTTACACAATGATTTTCCATAATAACAACTGAAATTTGCATCTATTTGTTTAAGTTTTTTTAAAAAGAGGGAAAAAAAAAATTTAATCTGCAATTGTCGCTTTGAAGAACACATAGTGGGTATAGCAATTTCTATTTTAGGTTTTATTTTTGAAATAAGAATATTTTTTTCAAAAGCATGAAAGTAGCAATGGCTGTAATAGGACAAAACAGGGAAAAAAAAGTATTTTTTTTAAAAAAATTATATGTAGAAAAGATACAATTTTTGGCCTGATTTAAATCGTATTATGAAAAAGCACGTTTTAAACGTTTTTATGAAAACTACGTGATTTTTTGCCGACCTTTTCAAAAAATCGCCGTATAAAACTGTTTCTATAAAAATGCTGTTTTTTTAAAAAAATTGGCGATTTAACTGTGATTTGCTAATGGTATATACTGGCTGTGCTTTCTTTTATTTGAGCATGCACTTTTTTACCCTAATATTATAAGGAAATGTATACAGTGACACCATTTACTTTCGATATAAGGATGTCACAATTATCATTGACTGTTAGATTTGAAATCAGGTGGTTGAGGATGTGTCATTGTTTGGGCAGAAAGTCTAAAATTGAATTTCTCGAATGTTGTGATGAACTTTCATTTATAGGATTCAATGTTCCAAAAAGCGGATCGCCTATTGCTTGGGCAGCCGCCTAGGCGGATCTGGGGGCCTAGGTGCATCGCCTAGGCCTAGGCACCCGCCCAACGCCCAGACTTGGGCGGCCCCCCAGGTCCAGCGCCCTGCCCAGAGGCGGAAATGCTTTCGGTGGGGGCATTTTTTGTCCATTTTTTTGATACTAAAGGGCCAAAATGGAGAACTTGTTGGAGTCCATTTTATAGAGAGAAATGTTTTTAGAAGATTTTGAGTCCTTAGAAGCATCTTTGAGGTGAAAGTTTGGAGATTGAGCAGTCAAACTCAAAGTAAGTAATTTTTTTATTGCTTATATAAATTGCATTATTTTGAGATGTATTATTTAGGATTTAATAGGAGTGGTGATCCCGGTTGGAAATATGGCTATAACCCAGATCCTAATGATAAAAATTGCATAAGATGCAATTTTTGTGAGAAGGATACAAAAGGCGGCATAAACCGGTTCAAGAAACATCTTGCAGGTATCAGGGGGATGTTGCCCCATGTAAAAAGACTCTTGATGCTGTTAAAGAGGAAATAATCAATTTTTTGAATATGGTAAAAATGAAAAAAGATGAGAGATTTGCCTCCATAGCGGAGATTATGTCTGGGGTTCGGGTCATTTATGATGATGATGATGATAGTGATGAGGATGGGATTGGAGAGAGATGTCAAGAAGTAGAAGTAGAACAATCCATTATTAGGGGAAAGGGAAAGGGAGTTGTAATTGCTTCTGGTTCTGGTTTTGGAAGTATGAAGCCTCGTGTTAGAGGCCCTATGGATAGTTTTTTGCCTCAGTCTGACCTTGAGGTTGCAGGAGAGAAAACAAAGAAGCAAACTACCATTGAAAATAAAATGAAGGTAGAGAGAGATAGAGCTGCTTAATATCTTGCTACATGGTTTTATAAGGCGAACATTCCTTTCAATACCGCTCACTTAAGCATCTTCTATGCCGCGGTAGAGGCAATTGGCCAATTTGGGCTTGGGATGAAACCCCCAACCCCATATGAGCTTTCAGAGCCTCTTTTGAAAAAGGCTGTGAGTGTCATGAAGGAAGCTGTAGAAGTTAAGAGGGGAGCTGTAGAAGTATGGTGTTTCTATTATGACTGATGCTTGGAGTGATAGGAAGAGAAGAAGTCAGATGAATTTGCTTGTGAATTGTCCTTTAGGGATTTTTTTTTTGAGGTCTATTGATGCCTTTGATCGTATCCATGATGCCCATTACATATTCCAAGTTTTAGAGAAGAAAATTAAAGAGGTTGGGGAGCATCATGTTGTACAGGTTGTCACAGACAATGCTGTTCTTAATGTTGCTGCAGCTAATTTGTTGCGCATAGCTTATCCTAGAATCTTTTTGA